GCTAAGTTAAACACACACACACACACACACACATATATATATATATATATATATATATATATATATATATATATTTTGTTTTTGTTTCTGTTTGTATTACAGATCATGTAGATCTTTTGCCACCTTAACAAGTATGCTCAATCTCTGCCTGTCTTTCTTTCCATTTATCTGCAAGAAGCTCTATAGCATCTTTGTTGATTCTATCTATCCATCTGCTTTTTGGCCTTCAACGTGGTCTTTTGCTTACTATTGAGGCATTCATTGTTACATAGAGGCTTCCAGATGGATTGCTAGAAGCTACATGACCCGTCCATCTTTATCTCTGTGCCTTCATATCATGGGAGATTGATTGACCATGTTTCTGTAAGCAGTTCTTTATTGGTCTTTCTTCTCCATGTGTTAATACTCTGATCCCAGATATATATAAAACAAAAATAGCTTAAAAAAAATTGAACTTTTAACTTAATTAGTTTGAAATGAAATGAAAATAAGGAGGATGTCATCAAGATATTATAATAATTAATTTCACTGCCGATAAAGACTTTTGAATCTATAAAGACAAACATTTATTAGCATTGTGGTAAACATATTTACATCAAAACAAATTATTTAACAACTTCAATAAAATCTTAATTAAAATAAGTAGCTAACAGGTAAATATTAATGTAAATATTTTTTATACATATCTTATTAAATTAAGCATTAGATTGATACTAGTTACTGGATAATAAAATACATATTAAATATGTGCCGATATGTATTTTATTCCATATTTGTCCCTGTAATAAATATTTTACAATTAATCAACTTATGAATTATATTTCAAAAAAACAATCTTTTTCACTTTTTCTGAGGACAGCCGAGTCCTCCTTTCATTTAAAATATTACCAGTTTTAGAAAAAACCCTTTCATATGGCACTGATGTTACTACTGTGCAAAACTTTTGTCTAACGATTTTTGACAGAAATGGAAAATTATAGGAATGTTCCCTCCACCATCAGTGGGTCGCTATTTTCACATGGTAGCGGTTCTTCCAGGTAACGTTGTACTTCTGTGATGGCCCTTGACATCGGGGTCCCAGCTGGCTTATAATTAGCTGCAATTAGTCTATATGTATTAAATGCAGCGAGCTTCTTTGTTACAAGAGTGGAACTTGTCGAAGGAGTATCACTACTCATTTCAACTGCACCATCTGAAGGACCTTCTCCTAAATCTTGATTAATTTGGCTGGCCACCAAATTTATGATGTTTTTTTTGCTGTTTCAGCTGTTTTTTCTGAAGGGAAAGCTATATTTTTGAATCTGGGATCGAGGAACATAGCTGTAACAAGGGTTTTGCTTCCCTGCAAATTTCTCAGGCGACCATCAAGTCCCTCCTTTAATGTATTAATTAACAATTTAACTGATGAAGAAAAATTGGGATTTTCTTCAATCATATTGTTATATAAATCCAAAATTCCTTGAATTAAAATTATAACAGAGGACCCTGTCACATAGTTTTCGCCACTTATGTGGTCCCCGTTACCTCTTTCATGGGTTGTAAGGCAGTAGTGATTTCTGATGCTATAACCCATTCTTTGAAATGAAAATACTTCAATATGTTTGTCTATGAGTGCTAAAGTAGTCCGAATGTTTGTTTCAAGTGAAACGAAATGGGAGAACATGTTATAGGTGGAATTCCACCTTGTCGGGACATCTTTAATTAATTTGTTTCTGAATATCAATCAATTTCTGGCTTAATTGTGTACTATTTTTAAAATGATTGACAATGGCCCCAATCCTTTTTATAAGCGATCCTAAATCTCCTTCTCCTGATTTGCTCTCTAGGGCATTCTTCATAATTAAATTTATCGTATGGGCTAAGCACCCAAAATGTTTCCATTTTAAAATATCTGTTATGGTTTTTTTATAATTGCTGCATTGTCACTAATGCATAATAAAATTTTATTTATTATCTCTCATTCACGAGATACTCGGTCTAACTCAAAAGCAAAATTTTCACTTGTATGTTGTTTGGGGAAAGAGAAACCTTCCAGCACGTTTGATTTAATTTCAAATTTATTGTTTATGTAGTGGGAGGTTATCGCCATGAAACTATCTTCGGTGGGCGAAGTCCAGCAATCGGTTGTAAGAGTTACTGACAATATCTCCTCACTTAAATAAATTTTTTTAAAATTAATTGTTTCTTCCTCATACATTCCTGGTATCAATGTCTGAGAAATTGTTTTTCTGGAGGGTAATACATAATTCGAATTCATGTGAGATGAATAAACGCGGAAGCCTTCATCTTCAACAATGCTGAAGGGCTGAAAATCTTTTGTAAATAACAAAATCAATCCTTCATCTATGTGTTTTTTTTTCAGGAACAGATAGCTTCTTCTTTAAAAACGACCTAAGGGTTTGTTGCTTAGAGCTATCCGTGCTTATTCTTTGATGAGATTCAATATTAAATGTATTATCTAATGTTGACGCAGATGGGGGAGATATAGGAAATAAATCGAATGTAAGGTGTAGAGGCTGGTGATGTTGTGGTTGGTACCGTTGAGACTTCTGAAACATGTGTGGAAACTGCCCTTTTCAGTTTTTTAAAAGTATTTAGAGAAACGCCTGGATGTTTTCTGTTCATGTGTTTATTTAAATTAGAAGAAGTCGATATTTTAGAAAAAACTTTTTGCAAATATTACATTTAATATTTTCATTGGATGTTGTAAAAAAATTCCAAATAAATGATTTTTTTTTATCCATGATAAATTAAAATTGTATAATAATAATAAATGTTAAAAATAAACTTATCAAATAAAGAGGACACAGAATTATTTTAACTAATCAGTTCAAATTAAATCCTAGGAACTTAAGAATCCTTCATCCAATATAATTTTCTCTCTTATCTGAAAAAAAAGTAATATATGTATATATAACAACATATCTTTATATAAAAAAATATATTTTAGTTGAAAATGAGTATAATTTATAAATAGAATTAAAAAGTGTAATTTCTGTAATCATTAATACCATACTGATATGTACAGGAAAAAACAGCTTTACAAATAGACCAACCTTTTAAATATAGAGCAAAAATATTAGATGTCCAATTGAGGATGAAGAAGAGATCTTCGTCTAAATTGTAAAAAACAATTTATTGGTTGATATGCTGAGGTGTCAAACTAGCAGGCCTTCGTTAATAGAAGAAATAAAGATAAATAAACAAAATAGAAAATAATGAAGAGCAATTGTAGAAAATCATAATGATAAATGAGCAATTACATTATTTTAAAATAATAGATCATGAGCAACAAAATACAAATAAAAAATAGTAAATAAACCTTCTTTTTTTTTTTAAATTGTTTTACTGTACCAAAATTCATGGTTTGAACTAGAGAGGTAAAGGGATAACTTGCTCTGGGAGGGAAAAATTTAGAGGGAAGTAAATTTTTGGGGTTGAGTAGCCAATTTGGATCACTGATCCCTTTATTTTCTCTAATTTACCCTTTTCAACTGTTCCCTTGCTGTTTTCAGTTTATATACAGTAATGACTAGAGACCTGATTTTTGTGAAGTGAAAGAGATCACATATAATAAAAATGTCAAAAGGTTCAAATCTTACAGTTAGACCCCAAAATTTGTAAAATTGTGTATTTAACATCTCTAACATAGACTAATCACAGTTTGTGGTTAATTGTGGAAAATCAAGTTCAAATTTTCAACTGTATGCTAATAATAGTAATCACAGTTTTGTTTTAATTGTGGGGAGTAAAGTTCAAACGTTCAATTTTATGCCATTAAAATCAAATTAATCAGTTGTCTGAACCTGTTGAGAAAGTTAAAAACATGTAATTTAATACCACAGAATCAAAATCGTGCAATTTGGCGCCAAAAGAGCAAAACGCGAATTTCATGTAATATTAAATTTCAAAGGTCGTGAATTGGAAAGATAATCTATTTTAACAGTGTTACACTATCAGGAATAAAATGGAAATCGGGTCTCAGCGGATTCTCTACGCTGGATCACGGGCGGATTTACGGGGGGGGGGGCTTTCGGGCTGAAGCCCCCTCCCAAAATGGAAAAATATAACCATGTTTTATGGGGAAAAATTTAAAAAATACCTCTTAAAGTATTATTGTTCGTGTAATTACATTTAAAAGTACTTAAGGAATAACTTAAACACCATTTCATATAGGTAGTTAGTTTCTTTCTGTTTTTCCAAAATAATTATCGTTATTTTTATGAAAATAAAAGGTTTCAGGCTGAAGCCCCCCCAAAATTAAATCCTGGATCCGCTAGTGCGCTGGATAGACACAAATCAGACACTTTTTGTAACAAAGCGTGCCATATATGTTTTTAAAATAAAAAATAGAGTGTATTTTATAGGAATATAAAATAAATATATAATATATATATAAAAATAATATATATATATATATATATATATATATATATATATATATATATATATATATATATAAAAAGAGTATAATCTAGAAAAAAAAAATTGAATACTCAATAGTTGACCGTAGTTTAATATTGAAGAAAGAGATGGTGACTGTCATAAAAAACTTAAAATAGCGAAAACGATTTTATTTAATCCCGAAAAAAAACTTAAAAGAGTGAAAACTACTTTATGTAAGCCAACTTTTCGCTCATACTAGGTCGAACAAACCAGATCTTCCTCAAGACTGGAAGGAACAAGCTATAGAAAACTGTGGGAGTTATATGATATGTAGCTGAAAAATTAAGATAAACAATAACTCGGTAAATAAAAAGTTCATAAAAGTATCAAGAACATTAAAATATAAACGCTTTAGAGATAGATAAGTAGTCGACTGTTGAAATTATAACGATACAATCATATTGATAAGAAAATGATGAGAAAATCAAATGAAAATGAAGAACCATACAATGATTTTTTTGTTATTAACAAATAATAATTGAAAATTAATAAATACGACAAAAAAACTTATAGAACTACAGTTTAATAAATATAAATAGTTTCATAGTATTTACCTATGGTTTGGAAGTCCAGACACGCAAGAACTAGTGATGGGGCCATATAGGCGGAGCTGTGATTCTGTCACTGTGACTGGGCCGGAGCTGGTGATCATAGTGACAGGCGCACCGAAATCACAGTGACAGTCACTGTAGGAGCTATGAAATCACTGTGCTCCAACAGTGACGGTCCCTGTGAAATCGTGAAAAATGTTATCTCCATGAGTAAATCACTCATGAAACATTTTAACGCCATGAGTAATTATGAAAAAAAAATGTTTTTATTTTATTTAATCTATTTGTTGGGGCCAGGGGTACTTCAAAATTGAAGTACAATTCTTTCCCCGGTGCGTTTCCTCAACGGTGGGGAAAATTCGAGCAAAATCAAAAATGTTGGGAAAGAAGGAAAAAAATAAAAGGAGTGAAATAATGAGACCTGTAAAACATTAGAGAAAAAAACAAATGCATGCAAAGAAAATATTAAAAAATAGAAATATTCAATAAATCAAATAATGGAAAAATGAAAATCCCCTTTTGAATGCTCACAATTTATTGAGATAAAAAAAATCTAATTATGTACAAGAGTTAAATAAATATTGGTGTAAAATTGCGATAAAATAAAACATAATTATAATATGCAGAGAAAATAAACCAAATTAACCATTAATAGCCAAATATAAATAAAACCAACTTCTAAAATTATAGTAAACCAAGGGGAAAAAAAATGTCTGTGGTAACGGTGAGAGAAGAATATCCCAAATTGGAGGCTATATTTCCAAAGAGGTTAGTTACCTGAAGTTCAGCTGTCGATGGTGGGGGGATCGATATGCATATCGATGTGAATGAAATGAAATGAAATGAAAAAAATGTTTTATTATTCTGGGACTGTTGTCCCTTAAGAACAAAATATGAATACAGATTATATGTCTGTGTGGCTACAATTGAATTGTATATTTACAATGAAAGTTGACTTACGATAAAAATACAGAAAAGAGAAAAAAAAGAACAAGTAAATTGTACATATGTATGATAAACTAAAATAACCTTAATAAATTGAGGTACTCTCTGGTGGTGCTCAGATATTTCTCTGAGATATATTTCACATTCATTCGGATTGAGAAAGGAGTAGGTGCTTAAAGAGGAGTGGTTTAAACGAGGAAACTGATTGAGCGTGTCGAATATCAGGTGGGATGGAATTCCAGAGGGAGGCGGCTTGTATTGCAAAGGATTTGTCAAACGCAGCAGTTCGGTGAGGAGGAGGATAGAGGTCGGAAGTACGAGATCTGGTGGGACGGGATTGGATGGAATATTTGAATTGTAAGCTGTGAAAAATGTAGGAGGGTCGATGGGTTCTAATAATTTGGTACAGAAAGGTGGCTAGGAAGTACTGACGGCGATAGGATGGGTAGAGCCACCTCAACTCAGTGTAATACTGGGTAATATGCGTATCCCTTGAGATTCCGAAAACAAATCGTAGTGCGCAATTCATTAGGCGTTTAAGTTTGGCCTCGGAATCTCCCGGGAGTCCACCGTACACCATACAGCCGTAGTCGAAGTGGGGGAAAACAAGGGAGGAAACTAGGAGTTGACGGGACTTATATGGAAGGAGATATCGTAGACGATTGAACTGTTTTAGGGTGGAGATAGTGCGACGGGAAATTTGGGAGATGTGAGGTTTCCAGGATAGGGATTGATCGAAAGTAACACCTAGGTTTTTAACGGTGGTGTAGAATAAGATAGGTGAGTTGTTCAGGAAGAGACTGGGAGATACTGGGGAGGATTTGAGGAGTGAAGGGGATCCGATCAAGATTGCTTTTGTCTTCTCGGCGTTCAGAGTGAGCCTATTGAGGTTTGCCCAAGCACTTATTCTGTCAATATCTTCCTGAAGTTTTTGAGTGGCATCTGAGATATCTGTCGGATTAAAGGAGAGGTAAATTTGAATGTCGTCGGCATACAGGTGGTAATGACAGTGCAGGATAGAGGATGGGAGGTCATTTATATAGATGGAGAAAAGGGTGGGGGATAAGGAAGAGCCTTGTGGGACGCCTCTGGTCAGAGGTAGAGATTCTGATGGTGGGTTATTAGGAATTACAACGTACTGGGAGCGACCGGTTAGGAAGGATTGGAACCAATTAAGGGAACTAGAAGAAAAAGAGATATTTTTAAGTTTGGTTAGGAGGATGTTGTGGTCTACTGAATCAAAAGCTTTGGAGAAGTCTAGGAGAATAAGGATGGTTAGTTTCTGCTGATCTATGGCTGTGTGAAGGTCTTGGGAAATTTTGATTAGGGCAGACTGAGTAGAATAACCAGGCCTGAATCCAGACTGGTAGGGATTTAGGAGATTATTGTCCTCTAAAAAATGGGATAGCTGGGATTGGACTAACCGCTCTAGTGGTTTTGAGAGGTTTGAAAGGAGGGAAATCGGTCGGAAATCATTAGGAACTGATGGGTTTGAAGTCTTCTTCAATGGGCGTACTAGGGCGGTTTTCCAGGATGTAGGGAAGGTAGCATTTTGAAGAGAATAATTGTATATATGATAAAGGATCGGAAGAATGGATGGCAATGCGGCTTTAATCAGTCTGACTGGGATGTTGTCGGGACCGTAATCATTGGTATGGGACTTCTGAATGGATTTAAGGAGCTCATCTGGTGTAATATGGGAAAGAAAGAAGTGATCAGGATTAAAGGAAGAGAACATAGGAGCCAGACTGGACGTGGGAGATGTGGATGCAAGAGGACAGGAGACAAAGTGAGCGTTGAGGTTATCAGCAGAAACGGAATTGGACTGAGACTGGGGTGTATTACCAATGGTCAGTTTTCTAAGAATAGCCCACGTAGCCTTGGTATTGGGCGAGTTGGATAGGGAATGATGGTAGTAACGGGATTTAGCGCGGCGTACTGCTGATTGAGTGCTATTTCGAAGCTGTTTGTAGGAGAGAAAATCATCAGGAAGTCGAGTTCGTTTAAACCGTCGCCTTGCAGCATCTCTTTCTCTCATACACTCCCTCAAAGCAGGGGTAAGCCAAGGAGCTGGAGGATATCGGATGGTTTTTGTGATAAGAGGAGCATGTCGGTCGAGGATAGAGTGAAGTTGAGTGGTTAGGATTTCTACCATGGTGTCTATGGATTTTGAGGAGTAGATGGGATCCCACTGGATATCGTCAAGACCTTCTGACAATGTTTCGTGAGTGAGATAATCTAGGTTTCGGAAGGATATTGTTCGGGGAGAAAAGGATGGAACAGGGACATTGTAAGAGATCTGGACAAGATCGTGGGAAGATAGAAACGGAACCGGGTGCTGAGATGCGGCAAGGAGTTTGTCTGAGGAATCCAGGATAATTAGATCGAGCCAGGACTCTGAATACTGAGTATGATGGGTTGGATTGTAGGGTACTATGTAAAGGCTGAGAGAATTAAAGAGGTTTGTTAGGTAGGAATAATCAGAGGATGGTGCCAGTAAATTGGTGTTAAAGTCACCGGAGAGGATGATGTTTGAGTAGGAAGGGATTAAGTTGTACAATAAAGTCTCAAGTGATTCATCGAAAGGAATTCTAGGAGGGCGATATATGACAGCAAACAGAATGGCAGATGAGGTGGTGAGGATTTCGGCGAAAAGGTATTCAACGTGCGGAGAATCGGTTATGGAAGAGCAGTGAAGAATTTTGGATTTGAGACTGTCATGGACAAAGAGACCTACTCCACCACCCGTGCGATCTACTCTGTCATGACGAAGGAGAGTATAGTTAGGTAGAAGGATCTGGGAGGACGGGATTGTGGGTTTCAACCAGGTTTCGGATACGGCAATTAAATGGTAGAAGTTATGGAGAAAAAAGTCGTAAAATTCATCAAAATGGGCTAAGAGTGACTGAGCGTTGACGTGGCAGGTTAGAAGGATATTAGTCATGGAAGAAGGAGGGGTGGCTTGGTAAACGGACAGAAGGAGTTAAGGATAGGAATATTTCTACAGCAGCTAGAGCCAATTGTGTGCAAGATCTCCTAGATATTAATAAGGATGGTAAACAAAAAATATAAAATTTAGTTAACGAAAAGCATATTCCTATTGTGCAAAAGAAAAAAAATACACAAATTAGAGTTTCTGGACAGATCAGACCTAAAATATTCTCATAAACAAAAATGAAATTATTATCATAGTCTATTATTAAAACAAACGCAACAAAAACATAAAACTGGGGATATAAAAAAGTAAAAACAAAATTGTTCAAAGTGTTGTAACATGTATATGCATGTCAAGCAAACGTTTCTAAATCTGATGGTGAGTTGATGACGACGACCTGCTGTCCATCGTCTCGTCGACATTTCACCTTGCCTGCGCTAAACCAACTGTACCTGATTTTTCCTGCAGACCTCTTTTGCCGGGCCAGCCAGTACAGGTGTCTGTTGGTTACGGACATAGCTTCGCTCAGGTAGATCTTGTGGGCGTCATTTTCTTGCCATCCGAGGTGACGTGTTGAAAAATCCCTAATGACTTTTCGCCTCTGGATCAACTCATCCCTAAGCGACTGCCGGACGAACCTTACCACAAGCGGCCCAGGTGTATCGTCTTGCCTGTTTCTTATCCGTTCTGCATAGTCAATGTCCTCCACCTTTAGACTAAGGCCCAGGCCCGCCCCCACGCTCATAACCAGGCCCATCGGGGTCTCTCCAGATCTCACTGGGACTCCTCTTATTTCTATTGACCTGGAAAGGTGCAGTTGCTCACTTTTATTGAGACTGATTTCGAGCTCCGAGACCCGAGACTTGAGAGTCGTGTTTTCCAAGACCAGTCCGTCAATCTTGGAATTTTGAGCCTCCAGTAGTGACTCTATAGAGTCTAATTTCGCCGCATTCTCAAAAGTTATGGATGCTTGCTTTTCGAGAGATATTTTTAATTCTTTCACCTCGTTAGCATTGGCATCGAGGGAGAATTTTAATCCCTTGACCTCTTCTGTTAAATTTTTAATGGCAGCAAGTAACAGTTGTGACGTGCTGTCGACAGTTTGTTGTTGTGGCGCCGATCTTGGCGGGCTGAGACACTTGTCTGTCGGTTGGATATTTTTCCGTGCCTTTTCACATTTCGGGCATTCCCAATTTTTTCGTAATGCCCTCAGTGCTTCAAACTCACTCTCGTCTGCGTTTAGACATTTTCCATGGAAAATGGCTTGACATGTTGGGACAGTGCATGCCATTGTTTTTTTTTCTTCTCTTGCTATGGTCTGTTTACAGATTGGGCATAAAACCATCTTGATAAGCGAGAGAAAAGAAGAAAGAGAAAAAAAAAATTACGTAAGTAACGTGGTAAAAAAATTGACGTTAACCCAACCTCGTCACTGGAAACACTGAGATATCTAGTACCTAGTCCTATTTATGCGCATGCGCTCCCCACCTATATTCTTATCTAGAATGCCTGCAATAAATACCTTAAGCCGACTAAAATTATGATTTTTCCTTTCTTCTTCTGACGTGAAACGGCGTTGTATTGAAGAATCTTTCCTGTCTGTGGATATAACACGATTAATAGTTGGTTCTAACCAAAAATTATGACCGAACTCCTTCTAAAAACTGCGAAAATCACTAACTATAAACTGACTGAACTTTTATCATACGCTCTGAACTGAGGTCTAGACCACACTGAACTGAACTGATGTGCTGATCGATGACTCGCGATGATACAGCTGGGACCTTCAAAATGGCGCAGGTGAGGTGACAATGAGCCTGGAACTTGGTGAAAATGGTGGGGGTAGACTTCTGCTCCATACGAAAGGTAGCTCCAGACTGGCTTAAGACTGCATCCCGACAGTACTATGGCATTATTTGTGTCTTAATCCCTAAGACTGGGTATTACTGCCGGGCTGGTGTGTATACAAATGAGCGATAATACATCGCAAACGAAGGCAGATATAAACTATAATATATTTTAGGGACAATATTCCCTGCCCTATTACAAAAAAATAATAAATATTCATTCCATTATTCACACTAAAAAGGGGTAATGGTGAGAAAAAATAATAATTAAAAAAATAAAGAAATGAGCGTATGCGGCGTTAACACTATTTTTTTTTCAAATTCGACAACATTTTCAAAGAAAGCGTGCTCAAAAACATAAGAGTCAACCCTGATATCGATTTAATCCGAAAAGTTACAAAAAGTCGAGGACCGCGGGGCCCAATCCTAAATTGAATATCATTTTCATAAAAAGCGTTCTCCAAAACGTATTAGTTGTGCCTGATTTCGATTTAATCCGAAAAGTTAAAAAAAGTCGAGGCCCGGGTGGCCCAATCTCAAATTCAAGATTATTTTCATAATAAGCGCCCCCTAAATCATAATAGTCGACCGTGATATCGAATAAATCCGAATTGTGACAAAAAAAAATTAGATTAAATAAAATATAAACAATTTTTTTTCACAATTAGTCATGGCGTTAAAATGTTTCGTGCCTAATTTACTCATAGAGATAACATTTTTCACGAGTGATTTACTCATGGAGGAAAAATGTTTCATGAGTAATTTTCAAATTTACTCATGGCTAAGGTTCAAAGAGTGATAACTCGTGACGTCGCCGCTGGACATTTACTCGAGTAAATGCCCAACTCTGCGGTGAAATCACTGTACGCCAACAGTGACGATCAGTGTAGGTGCTGTGAAATCACTGTGCTCCAACAGTGACGATCACTGTACGCCAACCGTGACGATCACTGCGCTCCAACAGTGACGATCACTGTTGGCGCTGTGAAATCACAGCTCTGATCACTCCGAACTATCACTTCTTTTTCGCCTCAGCGATCTGGGCATTGTTGACTTCATTTATATAATAAATGAATAATCATGAAAAAAATATTTCTAAAATAATACGTTATTTGTCAAATTTTATTAAAAATACTTTTTGAACTTTGATGAATTGAACATTCATTGCCATATATTTCCACAGGCGGATCTACGGGGGGGGGGGCTTTCGGGTTGAAGCCCCACCCAAAATGGTAAAATATAACCATGTTTTACAGAAAAAAATGTTAAAACTATCTCTTAAAGTATCTTGTTCCTATAATTACATTTATTAGGACTTCAGGAACCACTTAAATATTATTTCATATAGGTAGGTAATTTCTTTCTTTTTTTTCAAATTAATTATCATTATATGTATATGAAAAAAAATCTTTCGGGCTGAATCCTTTCCCAAAATTAAATCCTGGATCCGCTAGTGTTTATTTCTGAATGAGTCATGTCTTAATAATTAACTGAAAGTTTTTCACTTAACTGTTGAAACATAAATAAGACATTAATTAAAAATTAAATAAATTAAAATATTCTCTGCTAGGGTGTATACAGAAACCAAGAGATCCCAGAGATATTTTCCCCAGAAATATAAAATTTATCACAGGAAAAAATAATTTTATTGTAATATAACTTTAAACACGTAAACTATGATTTCACAGTGACGCTTTCGCCAAGGAGCCATTATATACTTATCACAAAAAAAAAAATCACTGTAGTGACAAATCACTGTGATTTGTTACAGTGATTTTTTCGGAGCTGTCACTGTTGGTGCCGTTACTGAAATTCTCTGTCATATCCCATCACTAATAAAACTGGAGAATGCTAAGTGATTGTGTACTAGAGCCAAAGAGGTATTATTCAACATCGATTTGTAGGTGCTGCTGCGTTTGGTACTGCACTGTTATTAGTGGAAGTGGTCGTATGTAAACATTGATGTTTTTATATAATAACATGAAAATCGATCATTTCTTTATGATTTATTAGTTTAAATTCATATTCTATTTCCCTCTGCTATTTTCTTCTTTAGCAGACTACTTATAACACTTGCAGACTACAAAATGTCAGCTTTAATGTAAAGAGAATAAACATGTAAAATTGTTACATACGACCTTTACAGTAGCGATATCCTATGTTGTCGGTATTTTGAAGTGCCAAAACATGAATTAAATTATTGCTTATTTAGGAAAGAGAGGTATCCTTTCAAAGGACATCAAGTCACTGGAATGAATTACTATGGCTATGAAATGACGGATAAATTCGCCAAGGAAGGGTCGACACTAAAGCAGAAAACCGGGCATCATTCCATAGAGCTATGAAACAGATAAAGAAGACTAAACAGGTTCTATTACTGGAATCTATGTAAAACAATATTGTTCTGAAGTAATGGAGAAAGTTGCCTATTGAAGAAGAGCGGCTCCTGTACACCTGCATAGAACTAGCCACTTTACAATCTACTATCAATTTCGGAGCAACTATGGATGCAGTGTATTTAAATCTTTCACTTTTTGCAACATAACAAATAACAAGAGATTATGATTCCATTAAGATCTGGATGATTCTAGGCTAAAGATCTCTCATGGCAGAAGCTCATATAGAGAGGCAAAAAAAAAAAAAAAAAATTGAAATTTACATTAATGCAATATTATCGATACGTTTCGGTATGTTCGACATATTCAATATTATTGCACAAGTATGTAAGGGAGGGCTTCAAGAACTTCTCAATTTGTGTGTAATTCTTATCATGAATATGAAAAATTACTTGAAATGATTTTTAAACAGTTTTCATTTGCATAAAAGTTTAGTCTACTTGTAAACTTTTCTGAACTCGTTGGGAATGATATTTTCTCACTACAATTGTATCCAAGAAATCATGTTAATGAAAATATTAATTATCCATAAAATAAAATTCAATTAATCATCATCATATTGAAAAGTTTTGTTATAATGTTATTTTAGATTAAACGTACACTATGTTAACCTATATATTACCTATATTGTAACCTATATTATTTACTTGGCTGTGGCTGCTTGTTATTGCTGCAAGATAACTTCAATTTAGGAAAAATGGCGGTCCAAGCGGCTGCTGCTTTATTAGATGAATTGATGGGCAGATATCGAAATCTGGCTCCTACTGAGAAAACCAAAGAATTAAACTGGGAAGACCCCGAGGTAAGATAGTATAGATTGTTACTTTCAATGTGATTTATTTTTTATGTTATAATTCATAGCCATTGCATGAGGCAGCATTTTTAGCTACTTTTTATAATTTAAAAACTCATTTACCTTTCATTTTATTTTGTCAATTAATTTAGTGCACTTACTGATTATTTATTTTTATTTAATATTGAAAATTTTTCAAAACTTTAAGTTCATATATTTTGATTTTTTGTTTCAGTTCTGCAAATATTATATGGTTAAGTTTTGTCCACATGATTTGTTTGTAAACACCCGAGCCGACCTAGGAACTTGCCCCAAGGTTCATGATGATGAAGTTAAGGCACTCTTTGAGAAATCTACAAGCTATAAGAAACAGGCCTATGAAGATGAATTTATCAGGTTTGCTCAGAGTATGCTCAATGAAGTGGAAAAGAAAATAATGAAAGGAAAGCAACGCCTTGCTCTAATGAATAAAAGTGAACCAGTAAGCCATGATATTGATTATTTGTGTATTGGTACATATTTGTCTTCTAATAAGTGTATTGCCTATGTAGATTATTTCTATTCAAATATAGACCGGTACAAAAAATGTCACACCACTTTGATCTAACGTAAGAGATTTCATGAACACACCATTGAAGAAACCGGGAGAATAGCCGAGTTCATCTTAAAGTGACTGATCCGTCTGGCTCCAATCTCAAATGTTAAGGATCTGTTGGGTGTTTGTTTATCTCTTTTGAGTTAGCAGAAGTCAAAATCAGTAATACAGTCAAATTTAATTCAGATCTCTATTTTAACTAACAGTGACCAGTTGAGAGTTTTTGGAAGTAATTAATTGCAGTCCAATCAAAGGGAGGTTGTAATAGGAATATGTCAATCCTGGGCTATTCTTGGGATTTCACTCGCTCAATATTTCAGTATTATAGCATAACGTATTTCTTTTGATCTCAGTTTGCATTGCTAAATTTAATGAAATATTTCTTTTAGGATGTTATAATTAACAACAGCATCAATTAAATTTACCAATGTATGTGTCGGACATTTGTGCTTAAGGTGAAGGGAGGTAATTCATTTGGATTCTTAAGACCAGAAAAAAAGTATTACAACATAAATAAATGTTATTGAAGATCATGTTTTATACCAATGATTGTCTCAGATTAATTATTTATTTTACACCTTAAACTTGAGAACCGCTGGTGTAGCTCCACCATATTCATTTCTATATTTACTACAACAATAATTAATATTATTAATTAATTATTTCTATCATATAATTTTTTAATTGTCATGCTACTATTATCATGCCATGCCTTTTATTTTAACTTTTTTAATTTAAGAATTATAAATAATTGGAACAATGTTCGTGTTTTGTGTTTTAATCTAAAATGATTTTAAGTAAAATTAAAAGTTGAAAATTTGCAATAAATTAAAATTGTTTATTGATATCTTAGAGGCCATAATTATAAAGAAACTGTCATTGGTAAAGAACCTGAGCTGCATTGAATATAAAACAGTTTAATATTACCTACAAAATGTTTTTTTATGTTAACTCAATAAAAAAAAATGCAGGATATCAAACATTTCTCTTCAATAACTGGAAACGAATATGAGTTACCACCAAGCAGAATTCATAAGGAGTATGCAAGATCAGATCTTAATCCTAAACCAGCTTCTCGACAAATAATGTGAAGTAGATCAGTATGTTACATCAGTATCTTAGTCTATTTCATAGCAGCGTATCATTTTGTGGACAGAATCTGTGTTTGAAAAACATGCCTGTGTTAGTGTCTCAAGAAATTGGTGAGATTAATGAAGATGTGTACAAATTATTCTTGCCTATGTTTACAGCATTCATTATTGTGTGGAATCCTCATCGTAACTTTGTCTCATGAGATATTATGGAGAGGATAGAATGGTTCAGATCCTTAGACAATTAAGATATTTTTGGTAGGTTGCAGGCTGCAGTTAACGAGGCTTTTCTTGTTTTAGAAGCAACAGCTGGGCAACTGGGACTACTTGTAAATACAATAAAAACCAAGTATATGACCACCGAGTCTGGTACCTTGGCAGATACTATACAATTTGGCTCCTATAAGTGTGAAAAAATGAATAATTTAAGTAAATGTAAGGTGATGCATATTGGCCGAGAGGAAGGTAATGTACTTGTTCATTGTAGGAGAAATGGCTAAGGAATGTACTTACAGGCTAGGGACAGGATCAGCAGAAATGCAAAGATGGATGGAGAAGCTCTCTAACCGAATTAAGAAAGCAAATAATGTCTATTACCACCTATGCAATAATATAGTTGGGAAAAAAAGATTAGATGGCGTTGCGGAGGATGCCTGGACTAAATCGACCATGAGGAACCTTCTTAATTTTTCACCCATTATTTTAGTTTAAGTTTCTGGTAATACTAAAACAAAGGAGGCAAATATATGAGGAAAACATAGAAACCAAAAATTTATAAAACAGATGTCTAGGAGGTCCTGAAATCTTGTTATTCCCATTTCTGAAGTGGATGGCAGATATTATTGATACACAGTCAGCTACTGATGCTTTTACCTTGATCCTACTACCTGACTTATCTATTCATGCCTCTAAATCCCATGACCCCATATTTTTGTATACTTCACAAAGCAGATACCTCCTGTAGTCCCAAAACCGCCAAACGGCAGGAGATAGGAGCAACTGGTAGGCCAAGGCTTGTGCTCTATGCTCAAAGACACTAAAAGAAGGCAGAAGGAAAACACTGAACGGAGGAAAAAGGAAAACAGAGTCGGGGGCTCACTGGTTTGAAGTCCATGATTAAATTTTTCCGCCTTGCAGACACAGCATATCCTGTTCCATAGGTATGCAATCTATCCTCACGGCTGTAGTAGATGGTGTGTCATCTTCATCTTTTCTTAATCTACTTTGCCAGTCCATCTAATTTCCTGAAGTGCTGTTATATCTTAGTTGTATTGGTTCATCACCTTCTTAAGTAGTTGAAACACTGCGGATGTAGTAAACAGTCCTCTTTATTCAGATTTTGTAATAATTTTTATTTAAGAGGAAAGTTATATTCTTAATAAAATGGGTCTTAATAATTGAACCATTCAGTACTCTTCGTTAAACACAAAAAAAAATTGCTAGTGCCAAAAACAGGTTCTTGACAATGTTCAGCATTTATCCATACATTTAAGTTGGAAACACTAGAAGTTAGTTCTATAATAAATTAAAAGTAATTTTTGTTAATATCTATTTTAAAATAAAAAATATATAATTTCAACTCTTATTTGGCATAATTACACCCTTTTCCTTATCCCTGTTAGCTATAGGAAAATTTTGAATTAGTCTGCAACCGGTGCAACAAAACGATTCTCTTAATCTATAATTATAAAGTTTTATACCTTTAACATTATTTTGTCATTTTGTTCATACCTCTTTTACTCCTATCTATTATTTTAATCCTATCTACTTATATCTATTTAATAAAAGCCAAATAAATAGTTCTGTTGAACAATCATTTTGAAAATCAGCTAAGAAAGTAAACTAAATTATAATAAAAAGTTATAGTAAATTATGATAAGGCATTTTAATCCTTTAAAGGTATAGCCACACTCATGGTTAAAAATGGCTAGTATACTGTACGCAGTATTCATGAATACTTCATTACTCGTTGATAGTAATCATGATTACTTTCAGTGTCTGTACTCTTCTGTGACGATTACAATTTTGATTACTTTAATAAGAAATAAATTAAAAATATAATAGTGGAATCAAACTTTTTTAAATTTATATCACTATTAGAAAAACTCAAAAATTAAATATAGATGCATAAATAAACGGTGTTGATTGGGCAGTGTGACCATCATCATTGGCCAGTCATCATCAAACATTGGAGCACATATGATCTTTGTTGGAGTGTGTCTTTACCTTTAACTTTATAATATGTCTGTTTTATATTTTCAGATTTCCCAATATGTTTTGCACTGACTAAGTAAATGAAAATAATAATACATCGATAGATTAGACTCTTCATTTAAGTTCTAAAGTCAATTATTTTTTATCTGGATTCTTATGTACAATCTATCATGTTTTCTTGATATCTTAATTGATATTTACAATTTTTATTTGTTTTTAGCCTTCAACTATTTCTGCTGCTCAGACACAGAGAAATGATGAACAAATAAAACTTTTAACAGAAAAAATTAATTCTCTTGTGAATGAAGCAGAAGCTGCTGGAATAGAAGGAAATGTAGAACAAGCTCAAGGTTTAATGAAATTATGTGATCAACTTAAAGAAGAACGGGAAACTCTTCAAAAACAAAACGAAAACAGTGCTTGGTCTCAGGTTTGTTGTCAATATTTTCATGCTTTAAATTTAATCATGAATTGCAGAAACCACTTATCTGCAACGCACGATTCAGTTATATTGTATTTCTTTAGTTTGAATTTATTATATGACTAAGGGAAGCGATGCGAGGATTATTTGTTAGGGTTGTCAGCTAAAAGCTATTTAACGCTTTCTTAAGGAAACGGCTGGATCGATTTTTAAGTTTGATGGCTCAAATTATTCTGAGATCCCCTTAGTGTTTTGAAATAATTTGAGCTAAAAATACTGACCTGTGATTAAATAAAATGTATTTAATCAATCTGCAGAAAGTTATGTAATGATTTTTTAAGTGAACAGTTGGATCAACTTTTTAGTTTAGTATCTTAAATTATTTTATGATATTTCCTGAGTGTTTTGAGACAATTTGGGCTATAAAGATTGACCCGTGATTGAATAAAATGTGTTTTAAACAATTCGCTATAAGCTATGTTACGATATTTTGAACGAACAGGTAGATTGACTTTTAAGATTCATATCTTAAATCATTTGGTGATATCTCTTGAGTGTTCTGAAAAGGAAGCGAGTGTTAAAGTGTTTGGGTTGCAATCTTGTGAATGTTTTTAAACAATTTTGAGCAAAAAATACTGAAAAAAAAATCATTATAGTTCAAGTATCTGGATTATTAATTGATTTGAATATTTGATTTAATTCGGAAACTGTATTTGTAATTGTCATACATTTTCAGATGAGTTCAGATAGTATACTGTACGCAGTATTCATGAATACTTCATTACTCGTTGATAGTAATCATGATTACTTTCAGTGTCTGTACTCTTCTGTGACGATTACAATTTTGATTACTTTAATAAGAAATAAATTAAAAATATAATAGTGGAATCAAACTTTTTTAAATTTATATCACTATTAGAAAAACTCAAAAATTAAATATAGATGCATAAATTTTCATTATTTTTTACTAGTTTATACAATAAATGCTCACTTTCCTCTGTTGCGGATATGAGCAAATGCCTGTCTTTATCCCTCAAATACTCTTAAATTAAGATGATATTATAATTTATTTGTTCCTAGGTATTATGGAAAATTAAAGGAATGGAGATTGCATTTGATATATGGTCATAGTATAGTTTTTGCGATTATGATTACGTTCGGAGGAGGAGGGTAGAGTTTTTTTTTGTAAACTTGATTTTGAGAATCTGCAATCATTTATCGATCTATTTAAACTTATTTGATTTTACTATAGTAAGGTTGGATTCTATTTTATCAGAGGCGTATTAAAAAAAAAAAATGAATTAATAGTAATATTCTGTGCTTTTACAGTGACTAATTTATTTTAACTAATAGATCTTCGTTAATATGTTCCATTACAATGTTATCGAAAGTGTAGAGTATTAAAAAGAAAAAAAATATAATAGTAAATAGTATAATAGTATAATTAATAATAAAATAATAGATTTTGAGATGTCATGCTGTGTATCGATTTATCATATGTTGTCAGATTTCTTAAATATATCAGGGTCCAACATTATGTTATTTGTGAGGTATAAATTTTGAAAATGAAATATATTTTGAAATTCTGTGCTTTCTCAAATTGCCTGTATTTTTGTATTGAGTAAAAATTAGTTCAAATAAAATTTAAGAAACTAAAACTAGAGATAGAACTACAGGAATTGGATGTTTTATGTTTATAAAATGTTCTTAGTTCCCCAAGGAATTTCTATATGTATGATTTCATAGATTCATTTTTAGAGAGCAGATGAGAAATTCATTCCAAAAAAGTATAACATTAAAAAAAATGAGATTTTCTCTGTTATTTAGGACCTACATCATCTTATCTGTGGCATAAATTTTGAAAATAAAATATGTTTTGAGATTCTGTGCTCCTTTACTGATTAATTTTAACTTACTGTTACATTTGTTTTTTTATTATTAGGTCTCTTATTATTCGAGGCTTAATTTTTAAAATTTTAATAAATCAATTTCGAGATTACCTGCTTCCAAAACGATTTACTTTTATTTGGTGGATTTCATTGGTATTATAAATAAGGCCTTCATTAATATTTTATCGGAGGGGTAGTTTTTTTGTATTTCCGCTATGTCCTAAGGTCCATCAATATTTTATTGTGTTTATTTTCTAAAATACAAGAAGTATTACAGTTTTTTTTGTTATGTATTGATTTATTTTAGCTTAGAGGATTTCTTCATAGTTAAGATTCTATTTATATTGGAAGTATGGTATCAGAGAGGAAGATTTTGAAATTTCAAAAAATGAGATACCTTGATTTTGTACCAATTTATTTTATTTTTTCAGATTCCAGAATATTATAGATTGTGTGCTTACGTGTCACTAACGTTACAAACAAAAAGTAATACTTAGTATGGTAGTGAACATAACTCACTTAGTCCTAATTTTTTATCTCAAAAACAACGATAATGAACTTTGATGTGAAATAAACCCTTAACAATAAAATAAGGTGATCTAGACATTTTTGTTGGTCTTTTTATTTTAAAAATATACGCTTAGAAGAACATATGTGAGCTTAATAACACAAAAATGCGTTATAATAAATCAGTACGGGAGCCTGGAATCTCAAAATATATTTTATTTTCAAAATGCATGCCTAAGTTAACATGATGTTGGATCTCATAAAAGATAAAATATAATTTTTTAATATTTTACTGTTTTTGAATGAATTTTTGTATACCCTCTAAAAATTAATTCTTGTGAATCAGAATTATAGAAAGATCTTGAAAAATAGAACTTTTTATACTCGTAAAACATCATCTGTTATAGTTATCTCTCTAGTTTTAGTTTCTTAAATTTCATTTCAAGAAATATTTACCCAACTATCGTAAATATAGCCAATTTGAAACTATATTCAGTATTGTATCTGAAAATTTAATCATGTGTTTAATCGAATGTGTAAGGGAAAATATTCGATTTTTCTTTTCAACTCCGACATGATCAATTTTGCTATTTTTTAAAAATTTTGTTATATATACTTTTTTAAAAATGTTATACGGAATGTGAGAAGGATACCGATGCAAGGCAAGTTGCTGACTGAGCTGAGTTCCGCTACACAATCGGTTGCCGACCCCCTCTTACTATGCTCAGCTCAGCTGCGCTTTCGGTGGCTGATCAGCTAAGACTCGGATGTTTACATGCACCCGTGGCACGAAATCTATTTGCTGAGAGCTGTAATATATAGTGAAAGGTACCAGACTATTATACCAAGTTTAAATATTCGAATATGTCAATTTCCCTATTGATCTACCAAGATGTTTATTGGAATTTAGATATGGAAATGTATTCCCTAGAGTGCATATAATTTCCTAGTTTCTGTAGTTCGTCTTTTTTTAAAATTAAAATATTTTTTTATTTTCAATACGTTAATGTTTTCTTTTTTCTAGACTGCGGAATTAGCTGCTGCTCAAGAGAAGCAGATGGAAGTTTGTGAAGTGTGTGGTGCGTTTCTTATAGTTGGTGATGCCCAGTCCAGGATAGATGATCATCTAATGGGCAAACAGCATGTTGGGTATGCCAGGCTTAGGTCATCTTTAGAAGAAATAATGGTCAGTACCTTAATGTTTCTTATCAAAATAATTTTTTATATTACTTTTATCCTTGATTTTTTATATACTATTACCTATTACAGGCGCATAGAGCTAAAGATAGGGAAGAAAAAGAAAGGAGGAGAGAAGAAGAAAGAAAGGAAAGGCGTAGAGATGAAGACAGAGATAGTCGTAGAAGAGAAAAGAGAAGGGATGATGATAGGTATTTAATAAGTTGATATTATTTTATTAAAGGAGAAAGAGAGAGATAAAGAAAATTTTAGACTCGGTTTGGTTGATATAAGTTACAAAATTATTATCCCAGCATATACATTTGAATTGTCTGTTTCCAATACCCACATAAATTGATTTTTACTTAGACTTACCTGTATATGTAATACATAGTAAGGGAAAGTAACACGATCATAAACAATTTCAAATCTCAGTTTTCAACAGAAATACACATTTTTTTTAAGTCTGAGTGTGTAAGTTCGCTCACAAAATTAGTCATGAATGAAATTGAAATAGGTTCTTGAGGGTTTAAGTATGCCTGAGATGTTACTGCTTTCTTTTTTTCAACAAAATTGAGTAACTGGAAATGCCACTTCATAACATCGATATAGCTTTAAAAATGTTGATTGAATTCATTATATCAGTGTAAAATTAAGCAGTTTTTAATATAGATTAGGTTTTATTCTTATGTTCTCTAACATGGCTTAATAGCCTTAATTTTTCAAATTTCTTCTTCTGAAGTACCTTAATTTTGTTTATGTAAAATAATTAACCATTTCACATCGTAATCTGCTATAAAAAATGGTTAAATATAAAATATGAAAGCATTTGATAATTAACCGAAGGAGAAATTACGGATCGTAGAAGAAAAGGAAAGAATACTGAGCGCAAGGAAAGAATCCGAGCTTGGCTGAAGGTTAGAATAGGCTTCAACAAGTGCTTAATAATAATAATAATACACCTTCTTAATAAAATTCGGGCTCCGATAATATTATATATTAAATAAATGTGCGGTTTTCATAAATGCTAGTAATGGTATTATTTAATATTTAATTGTTTTGATAACAGGATTATAAAAATTAAAATTTATTTACATACCAATGCTTAAACCAAATAGAAATACTTAATTCTTTAAGTGAGACTTGATGTTATAGGGTTAAAATTTAATTTAATAAAAAGACGTCTTTCTGTTTAATTCTTTATTTTTCTCTCTTTATGCTCTTGCACTAAGAGCACAAACAGAAAAATGAAGAATTATATAGGAACAAAATGTCTTTTTTATTAAATTAAATAGAAATACCTACAACGAAATATAAATAAGTGTAGCGATCTTCAGTGCCACTCTTGTTGGACTATAAATATTTTATGATACTTGATAATCTATTATAATCAAATAAATAATTACAATGTACAGTCGTTACAGGAATTGGTTATTGGCACAGAAAAACATAAATATAATATTTCAGACAGCTAAATTATAAACTATATTTTGTATCATCCATAATTTTTGCTTTTATGTCCCTCAGTATGATAATACCTATTTCTACAAAAAAAAAATCTAGTGCGGGCAACACACAACTTTCGCTTACTACTCTACTTTGAATAGAAATTATTTTCTGGCAATGTTGAGGTATTATAAAATTTTTGAAGTACATTTTAAATAGAGCTGAAGCTAAAAGCTTACAGATAACCAATCATTAAGATCATTAAAATTACAAAAAGTCTATTTATTATATCAACAGTAGGCAATAAAAATCTAGTTTTATAAACCACATAACTTCAGTCCCTGAGCTTTTCAGTTGACAGAATGACTAACTCCAATTTCAACATTTTTGAGTATTGTCATTTTAGTGATAGTTCGTTGGAAAAGTTATATCTACACAGACAGTGAGCAAGTGGATTCCAGAGTAGGTGATTGCAATGTTGAAATATAGAACTGTGAATAAAGGTATAGATTTTGCTACTAGAAACATTACTAAAATTAATAATAAAGAATGTTGAAATTGAAGTTAGTCATTTTGATAACCGAAATGTTCATCGTATATGCCTAGAGAGATTTCAACTTCATATTTAGCCATTATTTACAGTTACTATCTATAAAAGAAAGTTAATTTTTTTTAAATAAACCATATTAAAAGTACTTTAGAGGAAGACATATATGAACGTTATGCATTTAAGCCCTGTAAAGTGACATCAATGGGGACCTAAATGATATTAAAGACCACTTAATTATACAATACTTCACCGAGTTTAATAAAAATGAACTCGATTTTGAGAAAATTGAAAAAACGTGTTTCACCATTGATATAAAGTGACACTTCCGGTTAGCTGATTTTAAGAAAAAAGTTGCTGTTACATCTAAGGCATATACTTATTTTAAATACGTAATATCAGTTTCATACGACTTATCGTTTTTGAGCTAGACTGTTCACATACTTACACACAGACAAACAATTTTGTGGGACTTAGTTATTTGGACTTAGGAGACCTCAAAACATGTATTTCCATTGAAAATTCAGATTTGAAAATTTTCACGATCGCAATACTTACCCTTAATATTTATTTCATATATAGATAAATGAAAGTAAAAAGGGTGTTAAGTGAAAGTTGTGTGAAGCACACACAGCACCAGATTTTTATCTATAAAGGAGATGATTCAGGAATCAGAGAAATTTCTTTTCTTTATTCAATGTCGACATTAAGACCCATGTATTAGATAATCATTTGAACTAAGGTGAAGATACAAAGAAAGAGTTAGAAGTTATTTTAGGAGAAAAATATTTATAGAGAATAACTGACATAAATTTGAATGTAGAGAAATTGGAAATAATTAAGGTTAAAGGTGGAAAAACAGTAGTGGTATGATATTGACAATTTGAAATGAGTATAGTAATTGTTAAAAAAAAAATTCTTCATCTTAATTTTTTCTGTTATTAATGTTAACCGAGTGGTTATTTCATGGTTTTATTTTGTAAATTATTTGTATTGTCATTAAACTTGTTTTCAGGAAGGAGAGGGATAACGTTAGTGGAAGAGACAGAGAAAGGGAGAGAGAAAGGGATAGAGATAACAACAGGGATAGGGATAGGAAGAAGGATGATAGAAGGTGAGTCATCAAATGATTATGCACTTGCATGAATTTTCAATTTCTATTCATCAATAAAGATTAGTTTATAAGAAATGCAAAAGGTCCTGAATATTACTGATGCATATTTGCAAGCGTAATTAGTAAGAAAGTAAAATGGTGGCAATAGAGCTACATCTCTCGGGATGACAGTGGCTAGCTCATACTGTTGGATGTCTTATATATTTTTAGCTTGAAACTTTGATCCTAGAAATATCTTTCCTGCATAAAGTGGAGCCCAAGGGAAGTTGTGATAAACCACTGACAGTAGAGTGATAAGTGAAAATTGTGCTATACATGTACCAATTTTTAATTTATAATATAAAAATGTTGGCTAAATGTTAATAGCAATTTCATTTGTAATTAAACTCTAATAAGAATTAAAAGTTATGTAACAAACAAGTTTATTACCACTGAAAAACAACTAATAAAAGTATGAAAAAATTAAATAAAATTGGTCATTCCAATATGGAACAAACGTAATAATAATCATTTACAAGTATTAAGAAATTGCTAAAAGATTACATAATTTTGGGATTTTGTCCATGTTTCTATAACGTGGAACTTCTAAATGTTTTTTATTTTCACATTGAAAGACCTTCATTATAAAACTATCATAAATCAAATAAAACTTGATTCTCTTCTTTTTTTCAAAATAAAAAAACTCAAAATCTATGCTAAAAAAAATAATTCAAGAATTTCATGAAAATCAAAATAGTGATTCCTGAATATGTTGAATATATTGACTTGAATTTTAATTAATTTTTTCACAATGATTTTTAAAGTAATTTATTACATTATTATATTCGTTTAAATTAAATAAGATCTTTGCAAGACCATAGAAGATTCTATTTCACTCTACAGATACCCACTTCTGGTTATATTTATGAAATGTTTATATCTACAATGCTATAGAGGTCTGTATACTTCCATTAAAGAAATTAAATTTTCACAATCTTAATTAAAGAATATTTTATTTTTCATTAAAGAAAAATATTTTACGACTGAATAGTAAAAGATATTCAACACCAATTGAGCGTCTGGAAAAAATATTTGTCAAGTTTGAGCAATGAAAAAGGATACACACCATATCCAGCATACACACAACGTGCACACATATCCAGCGTACACATGTATAAAACACTACTTTCTATTACAACTTTTCTGTTGTCCGGAATTTTTCCAAATTAGACAAGAGTTCCTTTGTGCGCATGCCTCTAGGCTTTGGATGAACCCTATAGCGCCTTTTATGCAAAATGGCCTTAAGGCTCATGCACAAGGAATGTGATCTGCTCCTTTAGTCTGTGACTCCTTTGCCTATATTCCTACTGATTATCACACTCTGTGTGGCTGATGGTAGAATAGAAAGTAACACAACTATGTCATAAAAGTTCTACGAATGGTGATATATTGCCTAGACATATTGTGTTCTGTGTACATCAACTTTCAGATTGATAACAGGTCTCTTATCTGTTATTGCTTGTTGCTAATTGTGCCTGTCATACCTGATGCCTAACAAATGTCGATATACCATAAAACCAACTCTATAGTAAAATGTCAAAACAAAGACAACTGAAATCATATTCACTCTTGACAGATATTTCACTATTGTTTTTAAGTTTAACTATCATATATTAGTTATTATTAAAACATTTGTTTTTATTATTTTAGGCGATCCCATGAAGAACGAGAGAGAGAACATAGTCGGGAGAGAGATAGGAAGAAGTCAAGACACGAAGACCGCCATAACAGGAGAGGTTAGTTTATTTACTGAACTTGACTTTTAATAAATCTTAAAATCATGGCTGAAATAAAATTTTATTTATTCTGTTTTAGTTTTTTGTCTCTTTCATTTACTTGTTTTGATTAAAATCTTATGTTGCACTATCACGTTTTAGTCCAGTCAATGAATGATTATGGAATGAAACGGAAGGAATTCAATTTTTAATTTTGGAACTTTTTTCGGACTATTCATGCGTTTAACATTCTAAAAGTCCTCACTCCTGGGAAGTGAGTTACAAGTTCACTTCTCTCTGTTTGTCACTTATATCAGGGTACCATGCATCCTATTGGTGAAGACATTCTATACAAAATTATAGCTGATATAATTTGGAACAATATTAATGCTATTTATTCTTACACTATCTCACAGTTTCCTAGATACCCATGCTCGATAATCGCCAATTTTGAAATTAACAAATATTTTTCTCATGTTTTTATCTTCGATTTACTAGACTATTCTTTTTCTATTCATTCTATGAAAAAGTTATGGAGAAGAAAGATGTTAAGCATTACATTTTCGTCAAAAATGTACATTATCAATATTCACTATTTCACTATCTATCCTTCAAAAGTTATAGAAATTCAGGCAGCATATCAAAAAATTGTAACTATATCATTTTTGTAACTGTTCTTGAATTTCTAGATGATTTACCTGGAAGATGTATAATTTTGTAAAAAAAAAAAATCAATTTTTGAGTGTTTATTATTTTTTCGAGAATTATATAATTTGCTAACTCATGTTAACTTCTTGGTAGGAACATTATGTTATTCAATTAAACTATAATTAATGTATTATTATTTGTCAACATTTTTCTCCTGTTGTGTAGAATTCATATGTTGCAATTTCATTAGCTAAAAATCTTTAGGAATCTACTTTTAATTTTGTGATATTTTATTTTAAGAAAATGAATATGGAAATAGTTTAAATACATAGTGGTTTTATTTTTAGCTGAGAAGACGAACGATTCTCACCGACGGCGTCGAGACTAGAGTGGTCAGTGTTGAATAATTACAGGTAAGTGGTAAAGTAATCACAGTGGTCTCCTCTTATTCAAACGGTACAGCACTTTCTCTGTTATAATTTTTTGAAGATTTAGTATTTCAAAATAATACTTTGATGTTTAAACTTTATTTGAGATAACATAAACTATAGAAAAAGGTGCTTAAACCAGTGACTAGGGGAGACCCATTCCAATGACGTTGGCGTAAAATTATATTTTTCAGGTGGAACTGTTCCAGGTAAGTGGTGTATTAACCCCAATAACTGTCGACAATTTAGGGTCCTATCTTCGCCCCATCTTGCATGCTATTTCTTTTTACAATTTTGGTTAAGTGAATTATAAATGTATTCCATCTAAGAGCAGTTAATTAAACGAATCATTAACAGCTTGGCTACTAATGCGAATTTTATCTTATTTATTTCTGTTGTTAATTGCTTGTGGAACCTCATAAGCTCTGTAGATAATAAGAATAACTAAATTATCCTAGATATCAATCTGTTCTATTAATTTCGAATCTGTTAGAAATCTGTACCTCTGATTTATGTGTTTTGGTCAACACAATTCTCTTCTGCATCACTACAGAATTGATGCTTTTCCTCAGATTTGCACGGTTCAGTCTTTTCTTTTCTCATACTTTATTAGTTCCTATTTTTTTCATTGATAAACTTTTAATATACTTTAAAATAGATTTGAGTTACTATTCATTAATAGGTTAGAGAATAAAATCCTCTAAAAACTTATTGACCAGCCCTTTATTTACTTGATTTAGCTTAATTTTAGGGAACAAATTAGTTGTGCAAACTGATGGATGGGGTTATTAAATTAAATTTAAGTAGAGACTACTTTTTTAGTTCAGAATAATTGATTTGCAATAGTAGCCAAGGTGTTAACTATAAGTTGAACTTCATAATCACTATCAAAATGATTTCCTGTTGTTAAATCATGATGTAATATAATAATTTTTGTTTTTAGAAAATAAAAAAATTACAAATTATTCTTATTAGGCGTGTAATTTTATTTGATCTATCTTTGGGTGATATAGAATAAGAAGATCTATTATATTTAGTTCTCTTTAGACTGAAAATTTAAAAAGTTTATTAATTTGGTTATCTTTATGTTTACTTTCATAGGTTGATAAAAATATATTATTTCCAAAATCTTTTTGTTCTATTCACTGGTTTTAATTCTGTTTTATCATAGCATTATTTTTAATTTGTTTATTACCGAAAATAATGTTTCGAAAGTATCTTGATTAGCTTACATTTGTTGCCAGCTTTAAATTAAATGGTTCACTTACTTTTCATTTTAAATTTTTTGTTTCTTACGTATCGAAATATGTTATACCTTAAGTGATGAACGATGGAAGAGTATAGTCTGTTGTATAAAGATCTATATTTTTCTAAATTGGACGTGATAATATCAAGAGTTTGTTTGAAATTTGACGGGCTATCTTCTCATTTTGTTTTTGTCTTATTTTATCGTGTGCAAAATTTGAATTTCCTAATTTCTCATATAAATAAAAAAATTATGACTTATTATTATTTTATGACAGTTTTGGTGCAGAAAGAGAATATGTTAAGTCAGTTTATTTTATTGACCTCATCAGTTAAAGTTCTTTACCTTTTTAATGTTTTGACTATCTTAACTTTTTCATAGCTTATAAAAGTAAGTCATCACAGTTCTGAAGCCTTTTTTTAACTACAGTCGACTTGATTACTCTCAGTTACGTGTCTTTGAACTAACCTAGGTTCAAGTTATTAAAGACTAAAATAATCAACTTGTGTAAAGGTTCATTGAATTTGTTTCCATTCTTTTACCAGTACCAAGGAATAGAGGGTATTAAATAAAAATTTTTACTTGACATATGACTAGAAATTTATTTTTATGTACATGCAATAAATTGTTTTAAAAAAAACCATAATTGTTTTTGAGCCATCCATTTGTAATATAAACCCTTCATGATCTAATTTTTTTTTTAACTTTTTTTGAATTTTCGAGGAGTTTGAGTTATTGAGAGTTGACTGTATGTTCATCTCTAAATTTCTTTTCTATTAGCTGTTCTTTCATTGATAAATACAACTATAAAAGAACCAAGTTTGCTATGATGTCAATAAGATTTAGATTGTGTATTAAATAATTGAAAAAACCGAAGTCTATTTCTATTGAACCCAATATTTGGAAAAATGAACAACATTGAAATAAATTTTGTTTAGTACAATGGCTGGCTATGTCATTGATTCAGTTCCTGACTTGGCACACTCAGGACTGTGGTTTGACTGAAGTTTCTTTATCTACTCAGCCAAAACAAAAAAATCTGAGTACCTGATATTATTTGGCCTGTAAATCAGACAAGATATTGGTACATATTGCTTACTAAATTTTAGTATTTTCAATATATTGTAAGGTTGAGAATTAAGCACATTTACCAGTACTGGTCCATTCTTTTGTGGGCTGATTGATTTATTTACTTTTGTCATGAGTTTCAAATGAGAAAGTCTCTTGTGGTTCCTAAGGGCATGGGTTTGACTTGACAACAAATTCTTCTTGATTATCTTCTATTTTCTTCCTTCCTTCATTTTTATTTTCTGCATATGAATGACCTTATTGTGCAACTTTTGGCCCCAAGGCTTGTTACTCCGACTAATGGATTGTTTGCTAAATATTCATTACAGTGCACTAATTATCTGAAATGATAATTGTAAGAGCTAGTTTCGATTACTGAAAATTCGGAAAAGTAGAAATTTTAAAATACTTACTGTATTTAACAACGTTCATTCAGATAATTAATAAAAACAAGATTAAATTACATGATGTGTGACATTAGAGAATAAAGTTGAAATATTTATCTCTATAATTTTAAATAACCATTTTTATATTTGCTACTGTATAAAACAAACCAAAGCAATGAAAAAAAAAAAAAAAATATATATATTGCTTCTTTTCTTCTCTTGTTAGGAAGTTGTTGAAATTTATTCAGTTTGTTGGCTATAAAAACTTCCATAGTGCATAGAAAATTATGCATTTTTTATATTTTACTTCATGGGGGGTGGTTGGTTTTGTGTGGGGATAGGGGGAGGTGTAGTGAAATTAGGATTATTTGATTGGGTTTTTTTGTTTTTTGGGTGGGGTTTTTGGTGAAGTGGGGGATGTGAGGGGGGGTGGGTTAGGAAGGGTTGGTTTTTTTTTTTTGGGGGGAGTGGTAAATTTTGGATGTGGTGGGGTGGGGATGTAGGGAAAGTAGGATGTGTATGTAGGGGATAGGGTAGGTGGGTGGTGAGGGTAATGTTTTGGGGGGGGAGGGGGTTGTAAGGGGATGAGTGGGGGGGGTTAGGGGGAGTGTGATTGATTTGGGGAGAGGGTGGGAGTAAGGATTATTAATAGTTGTGGATGGTTGTGTTTTTTTTTTGGGTTTGTTATTGGGATTTGGGAAGGGGGATGAGGGGGTGGGGGGGATGTTGGGTAGGGGTGAAGATTAAGGGAGAATTGGAGGGGGGAAGTAGAATTGGAGGTGGTTAGTTTTGGGTTGTAGTGGAGTGAAATTATAATGTTTTAGGGAGTTGGTTTGTAGAGGGGTTTATATTATGTGCCTATACATGTGCAGTTTTCATGAATGCAAATGTTGATGTAATTTAATATTTAATTGTATAAATTATATCAATATAAAAATTAAAATTTGTATGTATTATCGGTACTTTAACAAATAATACTCACAATGAAATGTAAATAAATATTGTGGCCATCTTTATCAGTGGCTCTCTTGTTGGACTAAATAATATTTTGTGGGTCTTAATCATTTATTATAATCACCTAAATAATTATTGTATACTGTTGTATAAAGAATAAGGAAAGGTTAGTGATATAAAAATAATAAATATAATACATTTGAAAGCTGTGAAAACATATGGTAATTGATTCTTTTAAATTATATGTTGTGCCATGTGTAATTTTTACTTTACTTCCCTTTGTCTGAAAATAATTATTTCTGTTAAAAGAAGGGTGGTAAGTTAAAGTTGTGTGATACACTGCATCTGATTTTTTTCTGATGGTGGTGAGGTAAAGAAAAAAAAACCAATCAGTCTTCTGAAAATGATAGATTTTGTTATACGATTTTTAATAAATATGGCAAACAAAGATGATTGGTGAAGCTATCATCTTTATAAAACGCCATGGTGGAATTCAAATTATAACTAGAATCTCTTTATCCTGATTCCTCAAATCCACAAGGCTCATTGTATACTGGTCAAGCTATATATATTTTTTCGGGTTACGCACTGGATTGAACTCTGGTTAGGTAAAGTTTCCAGTGTGCTACTGTAGTATAATTAATCCTCTTTGTATTGACATGAAAATCCTTTCTGCAGGCTTAGTTGTAACCTTATAATGTAATAGAAACAATGATTCATAGGTCCAAACTTAGCCAGTGGGCTACTAAATACTCTCAAATTAAACTGTTTATTTGCAAGGAAGGAGATTAAGCAAGATTGATCAGTTTTTAAGGTGCGTCTACATACTTTCTTAAAAATGGCAAGGGCTCACGAGTACAAGCGTTTCGATTGGCTTTCACAAACTTGCAAGGTCTAGTTTCTTTTTTTAGCTCAAATCATAAAAAGCTTGGAGCGATTACTTACCATGCATTTATGCTTTTGTGCTAGCTAGGTGATATCGCTTGAAAAGTATTTAAGACTATGTCTGTACTCAGTACTATTTTTTTTCTTCTATACTTTGTAAAGAAAGTTTTTTTTAATATATATTTAATTTTTGGTCATACAAATGTTGATATGTTATCAGTTATTGTTAGAATCAACTTATTAAGTAATGATATTAGATTTATTATTGCTAAAGATCTTTTTAACAATAATAGTAACAAAAATGAAAGCTTACTGAATCATTCTAAGTACCTCCATCTACTGAGCGCTGTCCAAGCCTAACCCCACCAGATCAGCCTTAATGCATGGATATTGTTCTACCAAGATTCAAACCTTTTTCAGTATGTGAACCGACAAGTAAACAAGTGAAATGCAATCACTTTATTTTAAACTTGAATCAACCTAAAGTTTGTTGATAAATAAATACTGATTCTAACTTTATTGGATGTTTGGTTTATACGCATCTTAACTGGATTATACTGACTTAATTGGTTGGTATCCCCTACTCAATCAGCCTTCAGACCAGGTTAGCTCAGTTAGGAACTGTGCTTCTATGCTCGAGGTCTCAGGTTCGAGTCCAGCTGTGGCAAGTAATTATTTATTCTGTTACCTCAGCCATAGATCATCCCAGAAATTAGGGGATTCTCTAAGGCACTCCTCCTTTTTTATAAAGTGGATACTCTTAATTAGATAAAATTATGGAGAAAACCCAGGGATTAAACGTGATTTTGGTCTTTTCATCTTGCATAATCATTGACAAAGGAAAAATACTTCCTTAATTTTAATTTTCC